TGGTTCAATCGACCTTGTAGGTCAGAGCAAGGATATAAAATCAAAGGTCGTACTGAAAGGAGGGAGTGGGTACAGTCGCCTCTCTTCCTACACACTGACACTTTTGCTCTCCTGCGATGTTAAATAAAACGCAGGTAAAAAGACGGCCACCTAAGGAATTGCTAGGTAGGGATTTGGGCAATGATGAGGATGGGGCTGCATACTCTGATTCCCCAAGAACTATTGACGACACTTAAATAAGTGGATATAGATAAATGCAACACAAAGTAAGGAATGAAAGGAATAATGTGACCAGCAAAATAATCCCACTCGGTGTGGCACATAAAAGAAGACTTGTAATGGCTTTTCAAAGAAGATAGTGCGTTAACAAAACAGTAAATGGATTGGAGTCGGTCCCGCCGAGGCGATGGGATTCGACCTGCCCTAATACTTCCAACCATGTCGCCAGACAAAAAAAAGTAGTGAATGGTGCTTTTAATGCTCAAATGCTGCCTGAAGTCCATAGAGATAAGCACATGCATTAAGACTACGTATTCTACCCACTTCTTTAGTTGTTAGAGGGTTCTTATCAATGACTAAGGTCTAAGTGTTGCGAAACAGAAATAAATGGTAACTGGTTGAAACAGCAGAAGTCTAAAATGTGGAGAACATATTTGCCTGGTGCACCACATCTGTACAAGCCATCCATTTCTCTGGATCCTGGAGGCACAAGGGCGAAGCAGAAGATAAGTAGGCATTATTATTATTCATACAAGTTGCTTCGATGTACCTTGTGAAGAAATCTATGAAGTTGTCAGAGATTTTGATATGGATAACTTGGCAAACAAGACTTTTCGACGAATTCCCACACACTTCTCCTTGCCTTATTACACCACCTGTTCCCACTTCGGGATTGACTTAAATAAATTGCGCCTTGTAGGCTAGAGGAAAGTGTTTGGAATCGAACACCGTGGTTAGCGAGACCGACGTGTCCCAGAACAAGAATGAGCTTTCTTTCTCCACTTCTTTTACTCTACCCCTTCTTTCGTGTACTCTTTTGTCTACCAAAGCACTAGGACGAAGATAGGCTCCTGCGGACCTGGTCAAGCGGGAGACCTGGGGTTAAAACAATGCTGACTAAGTCCCTTAACCTTGGGGGCTCATATGCCAATAACCCCTTCCTTTTGCATTCTATCTGGTCATGTGCACTTAGATTCTAATATCCATAAAATGTTTATGAGACGTAATACTAGCGTTGTAATGTACAGAACTGTCGTTAAGTTAATGAGGAATGCAAGGGCACATCTGCGTCGTCTCATCAGTACCATCCTCCTTTCTATTTTATACAATATCCATAATAAACCTTGCTCAACCAACCTTCTTATGAAGGCCGAGGCTCAGGTGTTCGAGGGTAATCTGGGAGGTTTTACGAGTGTCTTTATAGTAAAGATTCCTTCTAATTTTAAGGCCAAAGGTGCAATGCATCGTGTGGAAGAGGGAGTTAAGTAATTGAAATATGATTCCCGTTCGTGAGGAGCGCGAAGTAAAGGCTTCCCATCTATATCACTTTTAGTTTTCTGTACTCGATGATATATGAAGATTCTCTGAACATCCCTCTTTTAAAGTTAAAGATTTAGAAGCCTCAGAGCAAACAGTAACTTCCTACAAAGAAGTTCAAAGCACTTAAGAGAATGGTGGCATTTTTTCATAAATCAGTGTATTTTAAAGTTTTAAGTAAGTAACGT